ATTTCATGAGAAGATCATGACATCATTTAAAATATTCCATTTTCAGAAGTTATGACAAATAATGAAAAAAGCAAAAACGAAGCTACTGAGAAAAATACTGAAGCTGTGAAGGAAGAACCAAAAAAAGAAGTAATTTTTAGTGTATGGTTGAAATTCGAAATCAGATACTAAAAACTTCTGGCAATGTTTTCTTGACTCCTGTCTAGGAAATACCAAAAGATGCCCTTTTTTTTGATGATAAATTCAGAGGTTCTTTCCTGCTTATTTTTAGCCCCAAAAGACTGCGAAAGATATCGCGCGAGAAATGGCACGTTGGGCTAAAAAACAAAGTAAAGTGTTGTTAGCTGTCAAAGCACCTCCAAAATTGGAAACCACATCACCTCTGGTAACTGCTGCCAAGCCAAAAACAACTACCGTCGAACCAACTGCTGATCTTACATATAAAATGCTTGAGAAGACAAGTGTTAGCGAGTTTTTCGATTTCTCTTACATTTCCCATCCAGTACTTCCGGATATTTGCTGAAGTTATTGATAGATTTGGGGAGAAACTGAAATTAATTTTAATGTGATAGGCTGAAATTCCATTGCTTACAGAATCCATTCGGCTCGTTCAGTGATGATGATGAAGAGGAAGAAATTCCTCCAGCAGCAAAGATTGCAGCAGTTGGTGTAGGTCGAGTAGCACTGAACAGTAAAGGTGAAAATCGTTTAATGCAGCATGCAGTTGATTTAGCGCCTCCTTCAGTTGTCGATCCGGTTATTATTCCACCCACCAAAGCGTATGTTTTCTTACATTGAGTATATCTCATTCTACCAATGTCCCAGTTCTTCTGAGAATGGTAAAAAATAACCAGTCGCTAAATGTGTCTCGAAAGTATTATTTTGAATAGAGGACGGTATGTCACATGCTGGTTGAATATTATTACCGTTTTGACCAGTTGCTGTGAACCATAAAAACGCTAAAGGAACTGAAGTTGATCACGTTTTCAATAGATTTATATTGCTGCAGCAATGCTCGAATGTTTTAGTACTTCGAAGTTGTGCTTGTCCTGTAGTACAAACCGTACAAAGTCATATGTGAAGGAAGAATATTTCGCGTGTCTTTTTCAGTGCACAGTCGGACGAAAGTTTCGTTGATATAGAAAAGAAATATTGCATTTTGTGCAGGCGGAAATTTGCAAGTTTGGAAATTTTGATGAAACATGTTCGAATGTCAGATCTGCATAAGGTATAAAATATTCAAGCCGTACAGATTTCAAAATGACATCTAATCGGATGTCGTATACTCATGCTTAAGTAACATCTCTTTTATCTCTTGCATTAGCTCTAATGCGTCCTAATGCGCCTCTAATGCGTGCTTATATTAACTTTAGTGCTTTCTCTGCAATTGTCATGACAAGAATTAAGTTGGCTTTCGCTGTTTTAGTTTTAACGGCCCTTGTTGATGCCTAACGCACGAGTATTCATGTGGTTTTTTCCGATATGAAGATAAGAGAAAATGATAATTGACATGGCAAATTATTTGAAATTACAGTTTGATAGAAATGACAAAGGTTTCCTATATGCGCATAAGAATGCTTGAATAGGCACCGCATAGAATAATGAATGGTAGTTCAAGGTGGAATGTTGACCGTTTAGGTAACTCATATAGTAGCTCCACTCAGAATTATTTTGAAGTTTTACTTGGCTTTTCTTTGGCTTTTTTTTGGAGTCAAATATAGACTATTTTGCTAATTCCGTCAGCAGTAAATTTTAATTTTTCAGAAAAATCTGGAAGCACATTTATTGCAAGCATCTCTCGATGACAGTGCATCACTGTCGGTGCCATCTGTGTCTACCTCGCAAGGTGCCTCTTCATGTTCACCTATTCCTCAACAATATCGAGATCGCGCAAAGGAGCGCCGTAATTTGTTCGGGTTAGATCCAAGTGGTCAGTTTATTCTTTTTTAAAATATATTATTATTATTATTATTATTATTATTATAATTATTATTATTATTATTACTATTATTATTATTATTATTATTATTATTATTATTAATTATTATTATTATTACTATCATTATTATTAATTATAATTAAGGACATATATTTTTACTATTATTCAAGATGTGACACTTTGTTTAAAAAGTTATTTAGTGAATGGGTTATGTTATGTCTTGTTTGCATACTTTCTTGCTAAAAAAAAGCATTCTAACTTTCTAGATTGATTAGTAGACAAAAGAACGTGTTCTCTGTCGATTTTTTTACCCTTTTTTTCGTTTCGATGCAAAATTGTATAATTCCCTATTATTCATATTTCTTTAGGTTTTACAAGCGACAATATTGAAGTTGGAGCGGATTATGCCGTGCGTTCATCAGACATTCCAATCGATGATACAAACATCGGAAATAAGTTGTTGAAATCAATGGGCTGGCAAGAAGGAACTGGAATCGGAAAGAATAACCAAGGTATGAAGTTTTTTGCTGCGGAAAACACAGGTTTTCTTCGGTGAAGAGGGAAGAAATCTGGCGATTGTAAATATTAACACAGAATTTTGAAGTTTGTTATTAATAAACTAACTAATACTTCATAATTTGTTCAATTGAATGTTTTTTTAAATATATTTATAATCAGTTATTTATTCGAATTTTATATGTAAGCTTTATCGCTTGGTTGAACACTCAAAGATATGACAGTGCAAAATCTCTTGTAAATTTATTCTGCTTTACTGGTTGGTGTATTCACTTATTTATTTTTTATTAGAAAGTCTGTTTCAGCAAATATGTATATGGGACATATGTTTTTGCAGGCATCATAGCACCGATAGCAACGGAGATGCGGGTGGAAGGAGCAGGATTAGGTGCAGCTGGTTCAAGAGTACTGCATGGTGCAAATGCATCCAGGCGAGAACGGGCACGTACTTCAATGATGAGTCGTTTTCAGGATTTGCAATAATCAAAGAGAAACACAAGGAATGAATGAGGGAGAGGAAGAAAAAGGAATGGATTGGCAATTGTTTCAAAGTTTCGTTGGATTTGTTCCTGGCTTTTTATTCCTTCCTTAGTTTTTCTTTTTTGGGTTACACTTGTTTCTTATTTGTTTGTTTGTAATTTGATTTGCTTGCAAATAGGTCAAATGTTCCCTTAAATTAATCAGATGGTCATATGATTACCAACCGAACTATTGTTTCATAATCCTAACTTTTCATCCAGGAATACAAGTTATAGTTCCCTCTCCCGATATTCTTCCTTCTTTATGGCTAAATAACGCCCTTCATTTTAATTATAGAATCGATAATCGTAATGATAATAGAATATATTATCTAGTAGTTTCAGAAATACATTTTTTGGAATTTCAACTTTCATCAATTCGTTTTGTTCAAGCTTTTATTGCAAAAATGAAAAATGAAATTATGTCTCGATACACGCAAATAATGTAAAATGTAATTTATTGAAATGATGCTTGAGGAATGGAAAATAGGAATAGAAATGTAAAGGAAATTGAGGAAATATGGCTGTAATCGATAAAATATAACATTCATCTCAGAAGAAATGAAACAATGGTCATTTTATGTAAGGGATCATAATTTCGGTTACTTTAGGGAAGAAGAGAAGTATAGAAAGTCGTATAGGTGATAATTGTCATCATTATGACTAGGCTTCGTGAACGAAGATTTTGGAATGGCTCTAGCCGTACTTGCTGGAGGCAATATAGATATAGGTGTATCCTTCCATCCTGCGCAGTAGATTTTTTAAGTGAAGCATAATGTGCGGGGAACTGGCCTCACCCTTTAGTTCGTCAATCAAGGTCTAACGAGTTAGGATGGTTACAGTGAAGTCCGCAGAACGTAGGTTTTGTTGGACTATTCTCAGAGATGAATGGCCTTACAGGGCTAAAAACGGGTTTGGAATTAGGGTTGTCCTCCTTTTAGCATGGTTACCGGAAGGCTAGCAAGTCCATCTTGTCCGTGGCCATACTTTGTCGTACCCTTCAGTTGACACCGTCTGACATGAGGCGTAAGCCACATACCTCGTAACCTCATAAGGGCATGGGAGCTTCTCCTCCGTGACAAAAGGCTGTAAGTGGAGCAGTGGGTGATAATTGTAATATACAAGTTGTATGTTTGTAAAATTAGAAAAAGGAATGAATGGAATGGCTTAATTAAGAAATATTACGGTCTGGCTATATTTCCGAACGGTTTTCTTACAGGATTCAAGATGAATTTACCACTGACCGGTTTCATCTAGAACTATGCAAACCTCAGAATGAATATATTCCAATCATATACATGCGTAATACAGTACGATATCAGATGACACGCAAGGAATCATCATTGGTATCATCTTGTTGTGATGGCATTGAGAACCGAAACCGATCAGATGGAATGCTTTGTCGTCGAATCATTTAGCATTCGGCTATGGTGACAAACTTAGAAGGAATATCATAATCTGTTAATTACTACTCATTACTTTTCCAGTTATATAAACCACTAGCTGGTACTCAATTATGGAGTATTACAAAATTACTGACATATATTAATTAATAATTCTTATTTGATTCTTAAGTTATCGTCAATGATAGTACAAATTTGTTACTATTATGTTTTATTTGCTATATTTTATCATTTATTACTTTCAATAGTTTAGTTCATTTTTTTGATAACTTATTTATTGATTAGTTTAGCGTAAAGTATGTCGAAAAATTTTTTGTGCATGTGTAAATTTCAAAATAATTTTTGAAAAATTTTCAAACTTTTTGAAATTGATTTTGTAAAATATTTAAATCTTTAAAACAAAATTCATAAATTATGTAAATAAATGTATACTTTTCTTATGTGTTAATTACATTAACCATAGATTTTCATCATATTATGCAAATTTTCAGAGATTTTATCGATTTACTGGATTATATTTATGCAGAAATTGTATGATATGCAAAACATATTTGGCAAATTGTCAGTTATATAAGCACTTATGAAGCCAATTTTGTTCATTTGTGTAACTTTACTTTGCGCAGGATGGGTGATACGAGCTGTTATATGGGAGCGCCAGGTGCACCTACCGGTGGTGGAGGTGGTGGTAGCGGTGGTGGCGGAGGTTATGGTGGTGGGGGTGGTTATGCTTATCAACAAGAGTATGATTATGGAGGTGAGAATATGATAATAAAGTATTTGAAAATTTTTGCTTATCGATAATTTTATTTGTAATAATGATAACAATTATTGTAATAGTTAATGATAATGATGACAATAATAATAGTAACAATATTAACAGTTAATGATAATTTTAGGCAGTGGTGGTGGTGGTGGTGGTGGCGGTAGCAGTGGCGGAGGTGGTGGCGGTGGCAGCAGTGGTGGAGATGATGGGCCAAAGATGCGAACTGACGTATCCTGTTATCTTGGGCCCAGATGAAAACCACGATAAAGTCAAATGACGCCTCTCCTTAACACGAACTGATAACTGATCTCATCTATCTTTCTCTATATGTAATGAATTCGTTGAAACATCGAAACAAAAAAGGAATTCTGGCTGATTAGTTACCTCACAAAAAAGTTTACACTTTCCACCACTACTTATTTGGTGATAACACACTGAATAAAAATAAATTTACCTTTCTCTTCTTTCATTTAATATATGATAAAAATGAGAAATGATAAAATCAAATTTGAAAGAAGGAAGAAAATACTTAACTAAATATTAATAAGTGAAATTTAATTTTTCATGGCCATATGTAACTTATTTTATCCTTTTTTTTCGATTTTGAGGAATATAGCAAAAAAAATTTCGAAATTTATTTCGAAATATAGCAAAAAAAATTTCGAAATTTATTTCGAAATATAGCAAAAAAAATTTCGAAATTTATTTCGAAGATTAATTCCAAAAAATCACAAAAATAAATTATTCATCTATATGCATCATACTATATCAATACAATTGTTAACAGAATGTGAATATCATGCCCATGTTTTCTGACATTAATAATTTAATATCTCAAATATTACTATAAATTCTAACAACTAGTATGGATAAATTAATTGTAAGGACAAATTTAAAGATACAAAAAAAAAATTAAAGATATAAAATAAAGATATAAATTTGAGGATCGAATTAATCAAAATTGAACTCAAACATTAACACTAAAATAATAACAAAGTATATATTAACATTGAATTATTTAAATTACTTTTAAAAAAAAAGAAAAGTTATTTCAATAATATATTTATTATCACCTTGTCATTAATAATTAATAAAAAAAAAGAACGGATAAATAATGAAGAAGGTATAAATAATTATTTCATCAAACCTCAATCCGTCTAATTTCCGGAATAGGTACCATACATCTCCTTTTTTTCTTTGTTTTGTTTTTCTTTCCTCTTATATTCCCATATGCTCGTGTTGTTAATACGATTTATTATCATCTTGATGAGTTAGTTAGTTAATGAAGTGCTCTTCCTTTTCTTCCCTATCCTACATTTTTGTTATTGGTAGAAGTATCTTTGAAGTGGGTCGCAAACATACTTATCGGTTAGTTATTATTCTAAAAACCTTTTTGTTTTCAAACAATCTTTTCGGGTAGAATGAGGTTGCGTATATGGACGAGAAAATGTCAAGGGTTAAAGGTTATTATTTAGATATTCCCTTTCCTTCCATTCATACCGGAAAAATCGAAAAAAAAAAATAATGACAACATCAATTATTCTCATTCATTCATTTACTTCAACAACAATAATATTACCATTAATTAATCATTCATCAATTCCTACACTACCAATTACTAATAAGTAATTAATAATTAATTTTATGCATAAAATGTATTTAACTTAAGATTTGATTGTTAATATTTTGATATTAATCTGATACAGAAATGTATTAGACTAAGATTGCTAATTCATATTATTTACTCGAGAAATATTCCTTTCATCACTTTAAAATATCCCTAATGAATCGGGAATATTCCAATGATTTCCCGAGATTTCGAGATAAAATATGAATGGTATCATTGTATACCTAATTTATTATTAGAAAAACCCTAAATGAGTTTATTCGGAAAAAGGACTCATTCAATTATATAATCATCCCTTTTTATCTCTCCTTCATCCATTTTACTTCTATTGCTTCCTTTTTTTCTCTCCCTCGTTCTCTCTCTCCCTCTTTTTCTCTTTCCCTTTTTCTTTCTCTTTCTCTCTCTCTTTTTCAATCATCTTCCTATTTCTTTCATTAAGTAAATAATTACCATCAAATAAATAGATACCATATTTATACATCGAAAAATACAAATAAATGTTAAAAGAAGAGAAGGAAGATGAAGGGATGAAGGAAAAGAGAGAGGAAGATAGAGAAAAAAAGAAAGAGAATTTAATTGATCAATTGTTTTTCTCTTCGTATTTTTTTATTTTTTGAAGAAAAAAAATTTTTTTTTTTTAGTTTATTGCATATACTGTTCTGAGTATTTTCCTTTCCATTCATTGCTATTTACTATTATTGAAAGATTTGTGTGAAAGGATCACGGTAGGGGTTAAAGGTCATATATACTGTCTACTGTTATGTAAACTTTAGAAATATTACAATAATTCTTGATGCTATTAGTCTAATATTTCATGACAACATTAACATTCATTTATTATTAGTAGAATTTTGTAAAATTTGAATACGATTGAATAAATTAATTAAAATTTGACAGTTTTTTTTTTGTTTCATAATTTATAAAATTATACATATGCAAAAAAAATTTTTATTACAATTATTTACTTTCAAAATTAAAATTTATAAGCGAGATTTTAATCTTATCATGCATATTTTATGATAATAAAACATATGATAAGACATGATAACATATGATAATATGATAAATAATATGAACATATGATATGATAACATATGATAATATGAACATATGATATGATAACATATGATAATAAAACATATTGAAAATTTTCACATAATTCATGTAATTATCATATTAAAGATTTGAAATTTTCGAAGTAAATCATAAAATAAAATGATCTTTGAAATGGATTTGAAAATTATTTAGGAATATGATTGAAGTATTAATTATTAATTAAAACAATAAAAATGTGTTACAATGTTGTTTAGCACTGAATATTACAAGGAAAATCATTCAATCTATCATTTAATTCATCCAAAATTATTGAAATCGATGAACCTAATTTTATCAAAAATAAATTTTGGAACATTAGAAGTGTGTTTGTGTGCATAAATTTAAAATTTAAAACATGCAGTATTAATTAAATTGGAAAATGATGCTAAAATGCTAATCAATCGATTCTTCTTAAATGCTTAATTTGAATAAATTTTCATTCATAATATTAAATGCAATCAGAAATATTAATTACCATATTTGATTACATTGATTGTAATTACTTACTAAATTTAATCATTACAATTCATATATTCCGGAAAACTATTAGTTGATCATTTAAGAGCTACACTTATCGGTACCGGTAAATTGTCACATTTTATTTGTAGATATAATTCAGGATGTTACTACTGATATTATTGAGACTTATAAAACTTACGTAACTTCAATTTTCTTCAGTTCAATAAATTATTCTAGTTAGAGAAATCATAATTAATGGATGAACCATTCATTTTAGATACTACTGCTAATAATTCTCACTGATAGCTATTTATGCAGTTTTTGAAGCATTGTAAATTTTATATTAATTAAATCAATTTAATTATTTCATCCCATTTCATGCATTATTACAGCTATCCAGTAGCTGGATTTTATTCCGGGTAACTTGTTAATCCGAAGTGAAACAGACCGGATTAAATATTGTTTACAAACGGATTACATTTATAGTCACCTCTCTTGATAAGCTTCTTAGAGAACTGAGCTACCTTACAATGGTGAAATAGAAGATAGCATTTAATACAGTTACTAATTCTCAAACACATTCTACTATCCAAATATCACTTTGGTTACTGTAATATACCATCAAATCAAAGCAACAAAAAGTATATTTAAAAATTTGAACAACATAATTCTAAAAAAAACCAAAATTGAAATTCAATAAATCCAGATTAAAATTTAAAAGAAAAATGAAAATTGAAAAAAAATCAAAGGAAAAAATGAGTAAAAATAAATGAAAATAAAAATTATAAAATTTGCCCATTTCTTTTTCCCAATTACATCTTATAGTGCTAATGGTGAAACATTTTCATTCGGTGTTCAATTAATATTATTTTCAATGTTAATTACTTACATTTATTTATTATTAATTATAAATTATCCGCTAATTTCGATATAAAATTTTATATTTAGAATTATTATATAACGGCGAATATAAGTTGTATAGTCGATATACTAATCTTTTAATATTATCTTCCCAAGCAGTTCTATGAAAAGAATATTACTGATAACGAAACTTGAATTTAATCCAATTTATTGCCTTTTTATCAACACTGATAATGGAATGAGAGTTGAACGATCGTTTGCATAAATACAATTAATGCTTTTCTTCTTTTTTTTTTTTTATATCAGAAATTTTATAAGACGAATGTCGAATATATTAATGATGTTATCCATTAATAAAATAACCTAATCCTGCTAATCATTACCCTCATTATATTTATCGCCATTATCACTATTGCTATCACTACCGTAATTATCATTACTTGAATATCAAAAATGATAAAAATGATTACTTTGCAAGGAAATTAATGAATTGTATTTAATAATGAGCAAAAAAAAACTACTACTACTACTACTACTACTACTACTACTACTACTACTACTACTACTACTACTACTACTACTACTACTACTACTACTATACTACTACTACTACTACTACTACTACTACTACTACTACTACTACTACTACT